TAGGCTGTCCCCACTGACCTTGCAGCACTTGCCTTTGCATTTGCGTGGGTATAATCCAAGTGACCATTCAGCCAGCTGAACTGCTGTTTCTCTCAGCATGAGGTGCTTTTCTTGGGACATGGTGGGAGGGACCAATACTCCAATACCTTCCTCATCCCAAATACACACTGCCTTGTCCATCCAGCTACTAGCCACACTGGTATGCCCCGTGCCAGAGAGTGTCTTGCCCAACAGAGCCCCAAAGCTGCCCCTACCACAGCTTACCACAGGTGGCCTCTAAAGGGCTGGGGGGTAAGGTGGAGGCAGCCTGTTCTGTTTGTACACTTACAAGGGATGAAAGCCAAAGTGGGAAAGGACTTCGGTACAGTGCAGCCAAGTGACTATAAAGTACTGCTTTAAAAAGCCACAAGGTCACCTTTACTGACATTTGGATAAGGATTTTATAGAAGTCACAGGACTTGTGGATGGGGTTGCTGTGCCTATGATCACAGGGGTGGGAGGGATTTATGTGCTGGTCAGGAAGGCTGCATTGTTGTGACTCTTTCATGTTCATAAATGCTCATTTATTAGCCTGTTGGATAAAAGAGGCTGATTAGGATTTCTTTTCTCATTTAATGTAGTTTCAGGTGGCTTCCTTGACTCTGCCAGTCATTTAACACTCCACTACTTACCGGTACTCTCCAGGTGCCATGTCCTCGCACAGTCTGTCTTCTCACTTGGTTAGACCTCAGCAAAACTTGGTCTCATGGCCACACTTCATTTAAGGACGATGTAAGAACTAATATGTATCATCCTCTCAAATGAAGAACCAGCACACATGCATGCAGGACTCTGTGTGCTGGATTTGGGATTTAGACAGAGGAGCTTTGCTGCTGATGTGTGTTGGGAACCTGGTGCTTGTGTATAGATATCCATATGTGCGTGTGTGCTCAGTCTGAGAAGCAGCACTCTCTGATTGTTAAGCCCTGCACAGCCTGAACAAGCAATGATGCAGCCTTGAGCAAACCTGAGAGGAGTGAGTCCAGGAAAGTGGAGGACATGCTCTGATGCCATGCAACTTCTGCAAAAAAATGTTATGGGCAAGCAAGTCTACATCAAAGAAACACCTGGCTCCACCACTGGTTTCTTTTCCTCAGTGGCATAACATATAGGACAGGTTTTGGCCAGATGGCAGAAAACATAGTGATCATGACAAAAATAATCCTCATCTGAAAACATGTCATATAGGTGAGCATTTGAGTCTCCTTATGAAACTACAGTGCCGTATAGACATTACATCCTTTAGGCACTGTCTGTGATTCAATACCCAGAAACCTGATGCACCTGTTCAGTGACTATGACGTGAATTGGAAACTTCCCTGCCCTTTCCTCACGTTAGCCCTGCAGGGAGATGCAAACGTGAAGAATGCCACAAGCTTCATGCTAATGTGCTAAACATTTAACATAATTAGTCACTGGAGCTCCATCCCTTTCTCCCACTGAGATGACCAAGAGATAGAGCACACGATTAACAGTACAGTCCCCTGCACTTGCTCCTTGATGCCACTTGACGTTGGCAGGTGTATTGGAGCCAGGCAGGATCAGCAGGCAGAAGTAAAGACAAGGGGGACAGGCAGCACAGCCTGCAGTACTGTGGCAGCCTGGCTGGGGCTGACTGGCTCCTTTGCACAGCGCCTGGGAAGTGAGGTCCTGCTCCCTCCATCTGAGATCCTGATGAGTCTCTGGTGTCCGACACCGAAGCCCAAGAGAACGCAGACAGGTCACGGGCTCGGTGCCATGGGGTGCTCTGCTGTGCAATGGAAACCAGAGCAGTGGGAGAAGAATAGCATGTCAAGTGCAAAGTAGCAAGGATGTTTTTCAACCTAAGGGTGGATGCAGATGTATAACCCATTTGCTGCCAGAGACAGCATTATTAACATAAAAGAAATTGCAGGAGTGCATGGAAAGCATAGGACAGCCATAAGCCTGACCTGGCTGTAGTCAGCGTGTACGTGCTGGAGCAAGGAGGCTGGCAGCCACACAATCCACATCTCATCGTGTGACCAGGAATGTGTATGTGACACCAAATGGTGGTAACGGGGAGGAGGGCTGGGCACAAGCCCCTGGGACCCGTCCTCCTGATGTAAAGCTATTCCTGGAAAGAAGGCAGGAAAATTTCTGGGCTTACGCTGATATGGTTTATCTCCACTAAGGGACTTGGTCCCATATGTGAACCAGAAGAGCTACATGTCCTAGTAGCATAGTGGAAAGGGTAACTCCAACACAGATGTTGAATCAATATAGCATGTTGCTAAAAAAACCTTTTCCCACCATCCTCTTTCCTCTAGGAAACTTGCCTTGTCCCTAAAGCAGGGGCTGTTGCAGGAGCTTTATAGACTCAGTGTGTGGGAATTACATACAGCACTACACTATGTCAGGACTGCAGCCAAGGGCATACTCAGTACCCAGAGTAGCAAAGGTGCAGGCACATGGATTTCACCACAAGCATCCCAGCCCACTGAGCCTCCTGGAGATAGCTCCACTGTTACTGTTATCTGAACTTGCTGGTTCATTGCAGCTTGCACATCTTCACTGGGCCATAGGCACAACCAGAAAACCTACATCAGGCCCCACGTCTGACCAGCACAGGTTTAAGGATGGTCCCTAGCGCACTGACACAGAGGGGTAAGGCAGGCAGAGCGAAGGGTCAGTGCTCCCAATGGACCGACATTTATTCCAGGTACCTAATAACCAGTAGCTAGGCATAATATACATGCAAACCCTCCCTCCTCCACCACAGTGCCCTACATAAAAATACGTAGAGATGACTCCAGTCCCACTCAGACTGACAGAGGCAGCTGCCATAGCAGAGCTTTTAATCCTAAAGCAGAGCCTGTTGTCACTGGCAAGGAATCTAATTGTGTTGGACCCGCAATCCTAGACCTTAATTAAATAGGTCACCCTCCCCGCAAAGCCAGACAGACTAGACTGGAGTCAGATGAAGCAAGTTGCTTAAGCCAAGGACCACCTGGCTGTATATTTATCTAGGTGACAGCATATGCTTTTGAGACCCTCTCTGAAATGTTGAAACCCCAAGCAAGCTCCCAGAGGTGAAGTGAGGATTTGTAAAGAGCAAGAAATCAGAGATGCTCTGTTCTGGGAAGGAATTCATTCCTTCATCTTTCAGAGACTGAAATTTTGTGGCCTTTACCCTGACCAAAGACACAGCAGATCACACTGGTTCAGGACTGATTTATAAGGGAGCTGGTGGTTCCTCCTCTGTCTCCATTGGACACAGCATAGCAGGGAGTGCTTTGAACCAGACCCTGCTAGTAGCTCCTAATACCGAGGACCTCATTTTTCTTTCTCATGCTTGCCCTCACACTATCTCTGTGAGATAGGGCACGTTACTTTCTCCATACCAGAAAAGAGCAGCCATATCGACTACACGCATTTCCCCTAGGCACGACCCAGCTGCTTGCCTCTGTAGCATCCCGCTGCTGTGCCAAGATGTGACCCTGCCATGAATGTTCTCGACCCTGTGCAAACACACAGAAAGACAGCACGCTGTTCATCCACCTTGCTTTCTGCATGGAGACAGCTTGAGTGCATATGCCAGAAGAGATTGCAGTAGCCTACTGCTGAGGCCCTGAGCTGGATGATGGGGATGGAGAAAGAGGAGGGAATGAGAATCCCAGTGCTCACTGTGGGGTATAACTGCCCCTATGACTAGGTCCAGCCAGAGAAACTGCACAATTCCCAAAGAGTCAGCTAGTCCGCTGTGAACCTGGCTGTCAGGTCAAAGCTTTGCACTCAAAAGCTCTTTTCAGGCTCCAACCATTTCTGACTAACCCTTGGGCAGCCTTAGGCACAATGTGGCCCTCAGCCTCTCCCCCACTTCAGTAAAATCAGGTCACTTGTACCCCACTGTGGTACCAGGATGGGGAGAGGGAAATGGGCAGAGGTAGGTACCTTGCTGCTCTGTGTCTGTCTCTTAAGTTCCCTCATAGGACACCCATTTATGTTTGTATAGACAGTGCAGTATGCACCCCAGAAACACCCAACAAAACTGAAAAATGATAGAGACCAAAGCTTGGATCTTAAGAACATATGCTGCCGTTGCAGCCTTCCTCCTGGGCTAAGCAGCCCTGCTTTCCATTGCCTGGAGGGAGCAACACACTGTGCTGCTGCTGAGACCCGAGGCCGCTTGCATGTGCTACCTCCCCATAAATAAGCTAAGAGCCTTCCTTCACCGTGTCCCGCCCTGCGCAGCAGTGGCCGTTGCCTTTAGTCAGGGAGCATTTCTCTTAACTCCAGCTGAGTCTAGGCTGCCGTTTTGTGTTGTGAAGTCCAGTAACCAGGTCATGTCATGACCCCTTGGTGACATATGAGTGCCCCGAGTCCCCTGGCTCAGACAGATTCCACGTGCTGCTTAAGTCATGGACTGGCACTGCAGGCTGCGGTGCAGCTGGATACACATGCAAAACACCTTTCCACTTTCTCCGTCTCTCCCACTTCTCACCGGAGTGCCTGTAAAGCCAGGAGCAAACACATGACACTGGTGCAGGAATTTTTATTTTCTGAGAAACACATACTTTACTTCCCAGTGCAATAGAACCTCGGATGCGTAGCGGTGGCTGCCAGAAACCTACAGATCGCAGGGAGTACTGCTCTTTATAGCTTTGCTAACATGAGTTTAGCAACTAATGCAAGTTTCCAAGCTGGCAGATCCTGGAGACTGACTGGCTCCATTCACCCCCACAAAGCAAGGTAATACTGTGCTGGAAGCTGTCCACAGTAACCTGCTAACAGTCTCACCTCTGGGAGGAATGGGACACTGCCTCTGCTTCCCATCCTGACATCCCTTTCATACCATTTGAGTCATCCCTTCACTCTCTCATTCACCACACTCCTCAACACTCCCCTTGTTCCACCACATCCCTTCGTCTCTGGCCATGCCATTTCCCTCTCGGATGGGACTGGGTTTTGGGGAGGGGAAAAAAAAAAGAGGATAGGGATAGGCAGAAGCTCACAGATAACCGCTTACATTATTTTTCCTAAGAAAGCAGATTATTTCTCTTGTATACATGAAGCCAGGAAACAATGGTTTATCACGGATATCACTCTGAGTGCCTCTACACTGCCTGGAGTGACTCTTGGCCTCTCATCAAAGCTTTCCCACACATCTTGGATGGCCAATTGTGAGATGTCCAAAACAGTGCTGGGGAAGCTACTCTAAGGTGCATGGCCAGGCCTCCATTGTGGTGTCCCTCTGTGTGTATCTGCTAACCCTGGAAACCAAACTCCTTGTACTTGCTGGCCATATCATTTCGGAACAGCTCCAGGGCCTTCTTCATTGCAGCCTGGGAATCAGCCCCAAAGTCTGCAGAGTGTTTTTCGGCAATGACCTTGATAATGACTTCAGAAATGAACTGTGAGGAAGGAAAGAGAGAGAGAAAAACAGAAGGGACAGTCAAGGTTTATTTTCAGAAAAGCCAGACTAAGAAATAGGTTGCAGAGCCTGGAAATATCTCTGAGCTAATTCAGTAGCCCTTCCCGCAGTCTCTGGAGAGACAGTGAGGTCTAGCTTGCAAGGAGTCTGGACTGGGCAGAAGAACTGGGCTCTATTCCTAGCTCTGACGCTGATCTGCCTCATGACCTTGAGTAGACCATAGCCCTTCCGACTCTTTGTCTGCCTCGTCCATTAAGGCTGAAAATCCATGCCCTGTGTTTGTACAACACTTAGTTTTGTGGGTCTTGATTTACCATGGATCCTCCAGGGCTTACTAAAACCATATGTCCCTCGTGTCCAGCCACTGACAGCTCTTAGGTAATGTAGTCTCCCAGGCACGCAGAGGCTGCATGGGCTGGTTTATTACTGTCAAGGGCTGCTCAGACTGCATGTGGTGTTTGGAATGGCAAATCTAAACTTGGATATTCGCATACCATGAGCCCTTTCTGTGCCTCCTCCTGCCTGTACACAGAGACCTTGGACTTGAGGGAGAGCTCACTAAAGTCCGACTAGCTATCAGTAAATAAAAGCGCAACTCTCACATAGCTGTCTTGCACACATTCACTACACATCAGACACCAAGATTCCCTGCCCTTTTCCATACCTCCAGATATTTGACAGGGATTTTGTGCTTGGTCGCATGGCTTTGAGCCAGGGGCTTCAACTCTGACTCATGATTACCCTTCTGCTTCAGGATTTTGCCCAGTTGAGTAAGGACGGTAACTCCATGTTTCTTCAGATCTTCAGAGCCCTTCATCTGATCAGGGGTCTTCAGCCCTTTGAACTTCTCAAAGCGATCCAAGGTCTCAGGGTGGTCCTGGAAGAGTCTGTAGACAATAGCAGAGGGACTTGTGAGACTTGAGAAAGCTGTCACCCAGACCAGAGCTGAGGTCCAGCTGCTCCAGGTATTTCAGAGTATATGGACAGGCAAAGGTGTGATAACCCGCTTCCCTTCCCAGAGAAAGCTCTTAGCTAGTCCTTACTAGTAGAGGCTACTTTAACCTGGGAACTGTGACACTTTAGGTCCTTTCCAAATTACCACCATTCACAATCACTCCTTTTAGCATGTGTATAAGCCAGAGAAGCATCTGATCCTACTCTGAATCTGGTTTAAGTGTTTTTCATCCTTCCCCTGGTAGGTTGTTCCACAACCTGATGACACTCTGTGTGTAGAAGTTTCTGTTCTATTTATTTTGTACAGGCTGCTTTATCATTAACAAATGATAAAAAGCCTCTTGTCTTTGGAAAGCAGAAGCTCCTGACATACCTTCCTTTGAGTATTGTATCTACTTTAATCCCGTCCTCTTACACAAGTCCTAACATGATCACCACTGTCTTTTTCCATTCCCTCTGGCTGTGACAGAGGCACTGCCCGAAACATGTCCAACTAGAGCGACAGAGCAAGTGTCCATATTTTTTTATATAGCTCTGCTAACTCTTTGGCACCAGTCCCCTGGGTTCTGTCAACTGTATTAAGATAGAGACAAGAGCCAAAGCTGGTTGTGGTACTGAGAGGTGAGTTCTTGCATTCATCTGAAGGAAAAACAAAACCAAACAAAACGACCTTTCTTCATTGACTTACTATTGCTGAGGAGCCAACCTGTAGACCCCTGGCTCTCACCAGGACCTTCTTTCCAGCCTCTTTCCATCTCTGCATTAACCAGGAAAGGAGAATTCTAGAGGCTTCTCATACACAAAAAACAGGGAGCAGCCCCCAGTCTCGGGTCCCTCACACCTGGGGCTCAGGTGTTCTTGAACATTAGCTGTATGGGAGAGCTTACTGTGCCCCCACCCTATGACTGCAGACATGGAAGAATGTGGTTCCTGCCCTTTTTTCCCGCCCCCCAGCTCAGCCCAGCTACCAGCAGTGTGGTTCCTCCATCAGGAACCACAGCACCGCAGAGAGTCCTTGGGAGCAAGTAGGTAACAAGAGCGCAGGGCCTTCAGGCATGCTGGTGCCATGCCATGCAGTGCTATACATAGGCACTCTGGTCCCAAAATGGAAATGAAAACAAGAAGGTGGAAGGGTGGCTAAAAGACAGGCTAGTGTTGTCCCCACTGCTTTGTCCCTGCTGCGTTTCCTAGGAGACAGGATGCAGACACCACTGACAACCAAACTGGTAGGAGATCTCACTCTTTTCCCTGCCAGAGTCCCAGAGTTGCGGTGAAAAGGGGATACTGCCTCTCCTGGTTATTAGGAGCAGTCTAATAATTAGGTGTTGAGAGACATCAGCTCCCTTGCACAAGTTTATTTTCAGGTATGACACCCTCTGATGGGCATAATCCAACTAGTTGAAGCACCAGCAAAAGCAATGTCTGTCTTTACAGCCAAGGCCCTACAGCTCACATCTGTGAAGTGGCTCACCCCAGTTACCTGCAGCAGTGTCTGGCACTCCAGCCCAGGACCTCAGCCATGAAACCAGCCTCCCTCTCATGGTACAGTGGTTGCACGCTTGCTCTGCCCTCAGGAGGGTGCTGGTGCTGGGACTACCAGGGCTTGCACCCCATCTAGAACTGGACATTCTTCCTAAGTATGTTGCCATGAGGGCCAGGCTCTCCACCGTATGATGTAAGTATAGGTTAAACTACACTAACAAATACCTCAAGCACATGGAAAACACAAGCTGTTCTGCAGTCAGAATGTTCTGTAAATGAATGACCAGTCTTTGCCGGCATTTCATTTCAAAGGTCTCCAAAGGATTTCTGTGCTCTACCAGCTGCTGAGCACACCACCAGCAGCCTTTCCTTTTTTCCTGCATCTTTCCATGACCCAGGTTGTGTCACCCAGACAGATGAAAAAACCTTGCACCCTAAAATGAGAGGGAGATTTCTAAAAATCTCCCTCCATCGTGTCTGGCTATGGCTGAATCATGTCTGCCAAAGATTATATACTCCCAAAACTCTTGAAAATTCTTCTGAGTGTTTTTTTGTTTCTTTTGGATAACTTCCAGTTGAATCAGTGTTTTCTAAACATATTCCCAGGATATGACATCTACCTAAGAAGTCTTTAACTATGCACACTTGGACACATTTCTAAACTAAGAGAGATCTGCTGGGCTTCCCCTGCCTCTCTCCTCCCTCAGAAACCTCTTGAAGGAACAAGAAACGACCTGGGTTGGTTGGGGAGCACAAAGTCACAGGGAAGTGGGGTGTCATCTATTTATCTAATGCCCTACGATACCTGTAAGACAAACAGTATTACTTTTTCCATTGGAAACTGCTTTTACTGTCTTGTGGCAGTTCCAGAGCCAAAGTAGCCACCTCACAGAGATGGACTGGTGGGGAGGGCTCAGGTTCCTGCTACCCCTCTAGCATGCCTGCTCTGGACTGCACCAGCGGAGAGACATCACATTGCCACCCGGCTGCCCCCATCCCTCCCTCCACTTCAAATGGCAGCTGAACTAGGCCATGATAAAGAAGGTAAATAAAACAGCCCCCTGCTTTGGCTCATCTTTGAAAAAGCTTTGAATGGACAGTGGATTTCCCCGATGGTGTGGCCTCCTTCCTTTAGCTGTGCTTAAGCTAGGAAATCCAAGCAAGTGCCACATCCCCACTGCTCTCTGCAGCATCTGTGCCCTTCCAGCACATCATACTGACCACAGGCTGAGGGTGAGATCTGGAGAGTCTCCTCAAAGTCTCCATCCTGCTGGTCTTTAAGGACAGCCTAGGATCCAATGCCCACCCAGTGTCATTTCCCACTCTGCAGCCCTGAGGTCCCTTCCAGGTTGCCTTTCTGTGACTTGCTGTTGGTGCCTGGGGTGTTCCCCTCTTGGGGGGGCCAGGACCACAAGGACAGCATGGGGATGGGGGTCCTCTGAGATGGAGACCTCGCAAGTGCTCCCACTCTGATTCCAGAATCATGGAAGAGGGAAGCAGGGGGAAGGATGTGCCTCGTTTCACACCCAGACCTCAAATTTGTCATCAGGAAGTGGACAAGTGTTATCACACAGATTTCTGGCCAAAAAGCAAGATGGGCAGGGCTCTGCCAGGGGAGACTAAGGTGGGGAGAGGGAAATTACTCAGGTAATTCACAGTTAGCTTTACTGAAATCAGAGATTCTGAGAAAACTGTCACAGAGGTGAGTTTCCTGTCCTCTCTTTCTCTGCCTCCTCACATCCTTGCTGCAGAGCATCTGAAGGCCCGGGACACACAATTCACTCCAGCATTTCTCGCCGCAGTGCTTGGGCAATGAGGGTCCAAAGCAGAGCTTTGCCAACAGGCCGGGCAGAGGGAGTGACAAAGTCCTACCATCTTTTGAAAGCAGCAGTGGCCCACTCCTGCACCCATAGACAGATGGAGAGACAGAAGCACAGCCACTTTACAGAGTGAGTAATTTTTAACACAGAAACCATAGCAATGGAAAAACCACCACCCTACAACAAAGAAAACAGCCTGTTGAATAAACACGGACAAACACGAGCTCCCATACTAAATATACACCTTCCTTGGTGACTCATCAAAAGCTCTGAGCTTTACTCTTAGGACCGAAGCTTCTTGCCTACCTCATTAAAACTGCATGCCCATGGCCAGCGAGGTCGGACTCCACCTTTCCCCAGATAGTCAGGACCTGCTGCCATTCCTGATCACTGAGCCCCATGGTTCACTGAAGGCAGGTCCCGAGCGCTCCCTGCAGCCGTTTGCCTTTCCCCAAAGGGTGCCTGGAGAGCTCACCCGTGGGATTTATAGCCCCTGCTCACAGACCTACACCTGTCAATCGTCAGCTGGACATCTTGCTCTCATTCAGGCTTGTCTAACCTAATCAGCCTCCCTATTTTTTTCTAGGAAGCTATTTTGGGTCAGGTGCTATTGTGGGTGCCACTGATGGCATCATTTCTGCTTTTCGTATTGGAATGGCACATGTCCCACTCTAGACAGAAAGGGCACTGCTGAAACTCAGTGCCAGGAGCCTGTCCTGGGTTCTCAAGGACCCAGAGACAGTGTCAAGCTGTATGGCAGGAGATTCTTGAAGAGCACTGTCATCTGCAAGGCCACCCCGCCTCCCTCTCCCCTGGCCTGCTAAGGGAAGAGACCAGGATGGCTGGCAGCATCAGCTCCATTGCTCCAAAGGCCTTTCCTTTCCCATGCTGAGCTCACTTTCCTTTTCCCTGGGGTAATGCCCTCCATTGACTAATAGAGAAGATCACAGTGTTAGAAGAGACATGTCCTCAAGAGCTAACCATATCCAAATTGGCCCAGGCATCTCCCCAGCCTCTGCAGGAGGGAGGAAGGGGATAAAAGCTATAGAGGAGCCAGTTACTCCGCGCCTGCACACCAGGGTCCTTCTGCCTGCCTCTCCAGGGAATGCTCAGGATTAGCCGCTGGCTGAGCCTGGATATCAGAGCCAACAGATGTAGACCTGAGCCAGGAGGGTAATTTGCAGCAGGCCAGAGAACCCAGGACACAGCAGGGCTTCACTCAGCACACACCCAGACAGGGGTTAAGGTCTCTGGCTATTTCTGTCAAGTCAAATATCAGTGTTGGGAGGAAAAGCCACCGTGCTGACAAACAACGTGGGTATGCTTTGAGACACCTCCCAGCCTTTCTCTTCCAGCCCCATCAGGACTGATAACGGCCTGGCACACCAACAGGATGATTATTCCCTTCCAGGAGGTGACTGCAGTCAGAGCACAGCCTGATAACAAAGCCCAGCTAGACGCTGCTTTCCAGAAGCATGCACCTACCTCTGGATGTTTCCAAAGAAGGGGCACACACTGCAGACCTTGGCAGGTGAGAAATGTCAGCCCAGGGCTCAAGACACCTGCCATGGGGCTCAGGAGAACCCCACGGTCCCTACCACAGTGCTGCAGGAGCTGAGCTGCATCGCTGCCTCTGCACCCATCCACTCTCTGCAACGCGGGAACAGTCTCCCTGCTCCAGCCTTGCAAAGGAAGAGAAGTGCCCACGTACAAGGGTAGTCAGGCAGTGAGGAGGACTGAGGCACAGAACCTCACACCCCTCAGAAACACACAGCTTTAGGGGAAATAGTTTGGCTAAGAAGGGTGGCAAAAGCCAAATGGAGGTGTCAGCTGGTGTCCAAGCCTAGAGGTAAAGGAATTTGGTCCGTTACATGTTGCAAGCCTCTGTCAGCCAAGTCAACCTGTGACCCTACACTCCTCCCCTTCTCTCTCCTGTATGCACCAGTTCACATCCAAAAATCCACATCCTAAACACTTCAAGGCCAAGATTTCATTCTGATTTACCTGTGCAAACACCAGGCCACTACCAATTACCCAAACTAAGCTAAACTGATGGAAGAGAGCCTAGGATGCCTCCAGCTCATTCCTCGTGTTGTTCTCCACAGTGCAGGGCTGAGGCAGCAGAGATCACATACCTGCAGCCTCACTCCCCAAGTACTTACAGCAGTAAACAAGCATTTGCACCATCCCGTGCTCGGCCTTGGGTAGGATCCTGAATACTGACCTTACTCTTTTACACGCATTTCAGACACGACAGAAATGTGCTCTCGGTACACGAGAGGCTGCTGTTTATGCACCGAGCTCTGTCATATTCCCCAAGCTGAAACTACTCAGTTGCCATAATAACTTCATTTGAAGTTGGTGGACTCTCTGCTTTCTGTAACTTTCCCCAGGGTTGTGAAGCCAACAGTCTCGGTATGGACATTCATATTAAATGGTCAGAAGGCTTAAAAAGAGTATGGGGTTCCATATTGTTTTTTTTTACAAGTGAAGTAGTAATGAAATGAAATCATAAGCTTCTCTCCCTAGAGCTTAAATAAATAGTCTACAGAAATACTAAAAGCTTTCTAGCGTACCACACCCTGCCTCAACCCTGCAGCCGCAAAAAGGACATAACATTTTAGTATCTACAGGCCTCTCCTCTCCCCCTTGGGACAAAATCTATCACTTGCATAACCATCTCGATAAACGAGGACTGCAGAGAGTCAGCGTATTGGCTGCCCCCCTTAAAAAGGCTGTGCGCCTGCAGCCACACATAAGGTGCGCTCGCTAAACGGGCATACGACGTATCGTTAATATTTCTGGCCGCATTTTGGGGTGCATCGCTGTTGCACAGCCCCCCGGGTGGACGGCGACCAGCCGGGCGCGGGTACCCGCCTGGGGGCTCTCCCGGCCCGGGCAGGAGGCGCCGCAGCAGCCCGGCTCCGTCGGCCAGGGCTTGCTACCATCTAGTGGCCACGGGCGACAGAGCCACGGGGACTGGAGGCCACGTCCAAGCACCCACCCGGGATTTGCAGGCTCAGGGAGGTGGCCAACACGTAGCCCTCAAATTTCGGAGGCAGGAGAGTGACCCCAGGACACGCAGGACTGCGGCGTCCCCGTGCCGGCGGCACCACAGGGCTCTTGCTGCGGCTGGGTGGAAGATGGCAGAACTTTTGTAAGGGGCTCGTTTTCAGCACGGGACATAGACACGGTCTGTTTTCTTCGGAAAGGGCCCATGTCAGAGTGCAGGGCCCTGGCATGGCCAGATGGCTTTGCCCCCAGCCTTGCAGTGGGTCGCTGGTGCCGGGACCATGCTTCTCCTTCCCCCCAGCCTTGACCACTGGGGAGGGACAGGGTGGTGGGATTGGGGCAGAGGAGGGTCCCATGGGACAGCAGCAGAGCCACAGCCAAGCCTCAGGGTACTGCTGAGGAGGAAGACTGTCCTAGGGGCTGCGTGGGGCTGGCTTCTACCCAAAAATGTCACCAAAAAGTGCGTAGGAAAGGTCCTCCCCCATCTAACAGGCACAGCAGGCAGGGGAAGAGCTGCTTCTGCCAAAACAGTGGATGCAATCTCACCTCTGCATGGCTCCTCCCTCAACGGATGGCAAACCTTTCTGCAAGCATTCATGAATTTAGACCACGCCACAATCCCGTGAATGGAAAAGCCACTTGTTTTCCCCATTTATGAGGGAACAAAGAAGTTCTAAGACTTGCTGGAGCCCACAGGCAGCACCAGTGAAAGAGCAAGGACTGGCTCTTGGGTATGGTTTTAGAAACACCAGCTGTTTTGTGGTTATTAATACGGGGCACAGCTGCCGGGGCAGAGCTGGGAGGCACGGTAGGAATCACACACCAGCCACACGGAGGGACCAGCTCCAAGTCTGTTTGGCCACATTCAATTTTTTTTCTTAGAGTATCGCTGTTGTGAAGAGAGAAATTCAGCCCTGGCCTGTAAAATGAACATCAGAAAGCCCAGCAGTCCCGCACATTGCCTTGGCAGTTAATGTAACAAATTGCCAATGATTTCTAGCCCCATCTTCTCTGCAGCCAGACCTGCTGCAAGTAGGGAAATGTGTACCCAAGAGAGAGGCGCTAGCAGAAATCATAGACATTATTTTCATTTGAAGTAAGTTTGTGAAATAAACTTTGCAGCAAGGAGGAGAGAGGGATGCTCCCAAAACCAGTCCATATTCATCAAAAAACAACCCAAACCATCTTGTGTGCTTACACAGCAAACACATTTTTTTTGACCGAATACTTTTCTCTCTTCAATGAGCCTTTTCCGCCAGAATACAATTTAAAAAAAAAAAAGAAGCGCTGAGAGCAGCTGAGGGTCCTGCGGCAGGGAGTGGCGGCGGCCCCAGCTCTGCCGTGACCCCGGGTTGTATAAAGCGTGGCGTGGCATCAGCGTGGTACACGCTGCCCTGCCAGGGGAGTGGCAGGGGGGGGGGGGGGGGGGCCCAAAAAA